AATAACCACCAGTAGGAGGTCTCAAGTTGATTGCAGGGTGATGAAACGTTCTGGGGTTAAACATGCCCAAGAAATAGTCTTGCAGAGCTGTGAAAACCATTCCTGGTTGATTTATATCCCAAGATTCTGAATTTCTTTGAGGTGGGGAACTGTTGTGGATAAACAGAGTGCTTGCTGTTTCCAAATTATGCTAAATGAGTAAACCAGCTGTTGGTTCCTAAACAAAACTACAGTTAAAAACAGTAAAGTTTGTGACAAGGGTGAACAAAATCCACATTTGTTATACCTTAATTTTTATGCTTGTGACAAAAACAGAAGAGCCACTATCATCTAAATTCACAAAGTACGTGTTTTATCACACATTTACAAGAGAGACGTTTAAAAGTAACCTTTAATGTGGCCAACGTCCTGCTGAACGCTGTTTTTCCGTCTACTACCACTTATCAGGGCCTCTTTGTTTCTTTGCTCTCTCATCACCCTTTCCCTCTTTCTCTTCCTCCTCCCATCACCGCCTACACACACACATCCCTACACCTACACGTCTCGACACACTCTGCAGAGGATAAAGAGGACCTGATAAGCAGTCCATTGATTGGACGGAGGCATTGCAGAGTGTGGTGGTGAGTGTCAGCGAGGCAGAGGAGCGAGCACAGCTCCATCAGAGCTGCTTGTCAGTAAAACCGTAAGTGAAGAAAGTCCTACACACAGATGGACATGCACTGCTGCACTTCATGTTATGAACTTGACATTATGAAGTCATCATAAATCAGCTCGACCATCGCTCTGATCCTCACATGTGAATAATCGTGTCCTAACTCCTCTGCTGGTTGAACCAATGCTGATAAATACTCAGACTTCTCCCCTCATACACCTGAGCATAAAAATCTAACGTTCCATTGAATAACAGTCTTATTCAAATCAAATGAAACAAAAAAACATTATTTAACAGTTTCATCTCTGCTCCGTTGCTCTAAAATGAAATAATCTCCTGAATGATTATAAGCATGTCAGCAAAATCCAGCTATTCTAAAATACTACCCAGTGGCAAGGAAAACTAATTAAATGTTGTTTATTATCACTGTCAGCGAGCCCAAAGAGGAACATATTAAGTTTGGGTGTGTATTTGAAATCTGTCTTATTCTTCCAATAATTTTTACTAGACTGAGCATTTTGTCATCCTTTTTTTTTCACAATGCCTGAAGAAGACACTTTTCTCTTTCTTATTGTCTGAGTCCTCAAAGATTGCAATATCTGGACAAGAAATGTGAAATTTGCATTATTGGATTCTAAGGCTATGTCTACAACACTCTTGGTATGTTTCTCCTGTATTCAAAATCTGGATCCAAATTATTCTGACAAAAGTAATAAAATACTCCAACTCATCACTAGGTGGCAGGATCACCCATATTAGTCACATCAAAATATACAGAAAGAACAGTTTTGTCTTTCCTCCGAAGTTGATGGCAACTCTTAACTCTGTCCTTATTTTTCCAGTATGTCCCAGTTCATCGTTAAACGTGTCCTTTTTTTTAAAGCCTGGCTGACCTCAGTCTTCCCCTCCTTGCTCTAATACAGGAGTAGGGAACCCTGGTCCTAGAGAGCCACTACCCAGCACGTTTTACAGGTTACCCTGCTTCAACACACCTGGTTTAATCTACAGAGCCTGGTGAGCTGCTGAACAGGCGACACAACTGTGCTTAAGCAGGGTAACCTCTAAAACATGCTGGGTAGCGGTTCCCTACCCCTGCTCTAAGACCTCCTTTGTCTGACCATTGTCAGTAAATCTCATTGTGTCTCCTTGGCAGAAGTTCTACCTCCACCAAAGAGAGGAACTTGGCAAACAGACATAATAACCAACTAAATGGTAAATGGCCTGTATTTGATATAGCACCTTCTAGAGTCCTGGAACCCCCCAAGGTGCTTTACAACACAATCAGTCATTCACCCATTCACACACACATTCACACACTGGTGGGGATGAGCTACGATGTAGCCACAGCTGCCCTGGGGCGCCCTGACAGAGATGAGGCTGCCGAGCACTGGCGCCACTGGTCCCTCCGACCACCACCAGCAGGCAACGTGGGTTAGGTGTGTTGCCCAAGGACACAACGACAGCGACAGACTGAGCGGGGCTCGAACCTGCAACCTTCCGATTGCGGGTCGAGCACTGAACTCCTGTGCCACCATCACCCCACTAGGAGGATGACAAGAAAACCTCCCATTTGAGGTGGCATGTGGGGTTGAAGGCAACCCGCTACATGGTAGTCACAGAGGCGAGATAGTAGGCATGTGTAAGCTGGCATCACAGCTCCAGGGTTAATGTAGTGAAGACAGATGGTTGTCTGCCACCAAGTTCTACACAAGCAGTTTTGTGCCTCTTTTGCTTCTGAAATATCAGCTTGACATACTAAAGCTCAGATTGTCTCTGAATGTTTCTGGTTTCTGAACAACCAGTGGAGCTGGCCTCTGTGGCCATCGTGTAGAATTGTTCAGTAGAAAGAGGCTCCAGCTCCACTGCACACCAAAGTATTTTAGCATTAAATAAGTATAAGGCCATCTGTTGAACAGCTGAAGCTTGTTTTTCATAAACCATGGAAAAGGGTTTCAGTAATGCCATTGAAAGGACGTGTATAAACGAATGCATAAACCAACACGTGCGTAGAGAAGACTGGGTCAAATTCCTCCACAACAATGTGGGACACTACTAAGGTCAAACAGAAGATGATTAGCCCAAATTATTGCTGCTCAAAGAGGTTCAACAAGGGATTCAGTTGTAGGGTGTACCTTTGTTAATGAAATGGAGACTGTGTAATATGTTGTGTTAATGTTCATCTGAGGTTGTATAAAGTTAAAGTCCAATAAATTCATCACACACCGGTGAAATTCATCTACGCATTTGACCCATCCCACGAGGAGCAGTGAGCTGCAGCTGTGGCTGCGCTCGAGAACTATTTGGTGGTTTAACGCCCCAATCCGACCCCTTCAAGCTGGGATTTGAACTCTGATATCCCAGTCCCAGGGCAGACACTACCACTAGACCACTGAGAAGGTTTACCTAACTCTGAAGGCAGGGGCGGTTCTAGACCAAATTTTCCAGGGGGGCCACAGTGGGGCCAGTATTTTTTCATGGGGGCGCAAGAAAAAAAATTCATAATAAAAGACAATGAACAAGTAAACTATTACAGCGAATGCAGTAATGGTTTACTTGTGAAAGTAAAACTGGCATGTTTTTATGGTACTCAGATAACAATTCTGAATGCTTCAGAGTCTATCCACAGTTAATGCTTCATTAACTGTGGATAGACTCAGTTAGGAACTTAAAAGTAAACGACAGAAACACACGACTACGATCAAAACACTGATGTCATGAAAATAAACTGTATTGCTTACCTTCGTCTCTTAGCGTCTTTTCCGTTAGTCGTGCTCAAGAATTTCTTCGGGTCCCATTTAAACTATTTTTAATCTTTTATTCAAAAATCCACCGAGTAAACAGTTCTGTCCACAGAGTGTGCAGCGCTTTAAAGGCTCCGTGTGAAATGCTGCAGCACATTAGTTCCTGTCTCCGAGGCAGCGCGGGGGAAAAAATCCGATCTTTTCAGCACAGGGGCCATAACAGGGGTCAGGGCTGGTTCTACAGGGGCCCAGGCCCCTGTGGGCCCCCGTTTAAAACCGCCATTGTCTAAAGGGAACATGTGATGACTTTGTCCTCAAGTTATAATTGTTCCATGTTCAATACAAAACCTGTTTATGAAGGAGTTTGCACTAAATCTTGGGGTCAGACGATATTGAAAAAAGCATATTGATAAAATATTCATATTGATCAATATCAATAGTTTTTGAATATTATAAGAAAACTGCGTGTGCTGTTCCCTAATTAACTACTTTCAATAAAGAACAGACAAAACCTGAATTAAATTTAATATTTTATTTAAACGTGTTTATTTTAGGATGAACAAGTTCAGGAAAACATTGACTTGTGTTGGTTTTTCTAGCAGAAATTTAGATTTCAGTTCAGTTTATGATTTTTTTTTTCAAATCAAGGTTCGGCTGGCCAGTAGAAGCTAACCATTAGCAACTCCATAACACAGCAGAACTCCTCCAGGCTTGTGTTACTTGTGGGAACAGAGTCAGTGGTAGAGTCATGCTGTTGTTAGCCAATCAGAGGTGAGCTGTCCAAATATCAGGAAATAAGACACCAAATCCTGTCGTCTGAAGCTACTTTCTCCTCCGGCTGATTTCTATGTCCTCAAACAGGCACATCTGAGCTTTTTTCCCCAGAGACTGACTTACAAGGCATTCTTTCCAAGACCATGGAAATGAATGAAATATACGAGTAAGCCTCACAACTCACTCGACCAAGTTGGGGCATGTTTTTCAGATTATGCCTGCCATAATCCCCAGTATTAAGTACATCACTTAGCTTTTGGAGTTGCATAATTGTACATTTCTCTCTAGGTGAATTCACATTTGTCAGTAAATCACATTTATTTCCTCATTATTTTTCTATGTTAATGGATTTGAGTTTGTGTGTGTGTGTGTGTGTGTGTGTGTGTGTGTGTAGGCTCCAAGATGTATGCTTTCTAGTTGTGTGACATAGCAGATTATGATGAACAGCTCTGCCAAATGACTGATTGTATCTACCCCCTGTCATAAATCACACAGCCTCTGCCCCTTTCAACCATCTCCAAACACACACACACCCACACACACACACACACACGCACGCACGCACACACACACACACACACACACACAAGCAGAAAATTACAACCATTGGTAACATCCCGTCCTCCATCTCAGCACACACTGTGAGTCTGTGAGTAACCAGCTTTACACGTGCAGGTCAAACTCAAAGTTCGACCTTTTACAGAAGAACCTCGATGACACATCGATGAACACGCTGCTGTTCATGAACGCTCGTGTGCCAAAATGAACTTTTTGTGTTCATGCCTGTTTGTGTGTGTGCAATACATTTATGCCAGTACTTCTGTACCACTCACCAATATGTTTGCCCTTCATGTGATAGTAGAAGGAGACACAGTACGGGACTCGCCTGGAGCCCTTGGGGCCTTTGACTGAAGACACGTTGAAAAGCGGAGACAGAAGACGGGCTTTGTCCCCCATAGAACGTGGACGTGATGCTTCAATGTACATGTAATACCCTGCAAGAACAAAAAAGCACCCACCATCAAAACTAAGTGTGATTTGATTTTCAACTACATGTTATGCATTCATGAAAATCACAGGTACATGTCCCAGTGTTCAAGATCAAATAAGCCCTCACACAAATCATATAATATACATTCTATTCAGATGTAATTCCACATTTTGTGCATGATGAAGCTCTGTATTTGTTGCTGCCGAGACTCTGAATTTGTCCTTAAAACATGCCCCTAGTGTCCTCACCTTCCATCGTTCCACTGCGGTCGGTCTCAGGCCCAGTATTGGCAGATCGCTTGGGGTTTTGCATCAGATAATTCGATCTTGTCCAGTCAAAGACATCACTCCGGTCTTGAGAGAAGCCACAGATCCGCTCATCTTCGAAACCACATATATGATCTGAGGTGTTGGTGCATGTAGGAAAAGATAAGCACATTGTATTTGCAACCTGTAGATACAAAGCCTTCATGCAATTTGGATCAGGCATCCTAATAATTACTCATGAAATGATGGACATTGTGTTAGAGGAGGGCTGTTGATAAACAACGCACACATTTTAGTCAAATGTGTATTAATATTCTTCCTAAACGTTATACAAGCCACCTCTGTGTCGGTGCAGACTCTTTAAGACATAAAACAAACAAATAAAAATGTGGTAAAAGCTATAAAAGCAACAATTCAAATAAAACAGAGCTTCAACCGGCTGTTCGATGCAACTAAACTCAGAATCACATTATGCTGAAACTGCATGGACTATTTGCAACAGGCATTCGCAAGGCAGTTTTCTAAATTATCCAGCTTTCTGAGTTATCCATGCCTTTATCTCCTCCCGTCTAGATTCCTGTAACACACTTTTCACATGTTTTAACAAAAACGTGCTTGACCGAGTTCAGTTGGTCCAGAACTCTGCAGCGAGGCTCCTAGCCGGAGCAAACAGAAGAGCACACATCACTCCTATTCTGATGTCTCTGCACTGGTTACCCGTTAACTTTAGAGTTCATTTAGAATCCTGACCATAACTTTCAATGCTCTACACGGTCAAGCTCCTCCCTATATTACTGAACTGTTAAAGCCTCATGCTCCAACTCGAATCCTCAGGTCCACACACCAGAACCTTCTAGAAGTTCCAAAGAATACAAGTCGAGGTGATCGCTCCTTCCAGACTGTTGCACCCCGATTTTGAAATGATCTTCTTTAGTATTGACAGTCTTGACACTTAAAAAACAGCTAAGGACCTTTTTACTTAAAGCTTCTTTTACATAAATCTTTTAACTTATTTTTTACTCAAATTTGTAATCATTTTTCATCTGTTTATGAATTTTTTAATGTTATGACTATTTTTTTCTGATGTTAATCTATTTCTGTTTTGAGATCATTATGATTTTATGACTTTGTTTAATTTTGTTTTGATCTATGAGAAGCACTTTGTGATTCTGTCTGTGATAAGTGCTATTTAAATACAATTTACTGACTACTTACTTACTACATTTTGTTAAACTTTAATGGTTGTTTTCACCTTTATTACAAGTTGTAGAGCCGTGCTCTCAACAACAATTTTTTTTACGGGGCAGGCGTTGCAACCCCCACACCGTGAGGACAAACAGTACGACTCTTGGGGTTTGGAATCTAAAAACGGTTCTATTTGAGAACCGGTTCCCATTGGTTTAATGCTTAGAAATTGTTCTCCACTTTCGCAAACGATCCCCTTTATCAATTTCGGTCTGCGCAAACGACGTCACCCTGCACGTTGCGTAGCTTACAGAAGCAGGAAACATGGCGTCTAAGAAGCACACAAACTCGAAAGTTTGGCTATATTTTACAAGAAAGCATGACAACAAGGTAACTTGTAATAATTGCAAAGTAGATATTTCATCAAGGGAGGAAGCATTCCAAATATACAAAAGCCTTTGGCCACAAAATACGCTAAAACTTAGAGTTAATGACGTGTTTTGACCCGCTACAGACCAGTGAATATCACACGTCCTCTCCTGTACTGCAGGTAACTAATCAACTAACACTGCCTATCATGTTAGCGTCATTTTACTTATATATACACCTCCACACTAGCAGACTCCAGGGACAAATGTCTGACCTGTGGTGAGATTATTCCCACTCTACAAAAGCTACAGCAACCCTGCACAGAACAAGAAGATGACTCTGCCTTCACAGGGAGCATGAAGAACATTTGGAAAGATATTTCCAAATGATACAGCTGATTATTTATCGTAGATAAACTGACAGTTATATTGCAGGAGCCTACTCTGGAACTGATAAGGAATTGGATCGATAGATTGAATCGACAATACCATTGATATTGATAAAAACTGATCACTTCCCACCCCTAGTACATATTTTCACCTAGTGGTCTAAAAACACAATAAGGCTGTTATTCTTGCACAGTTCAGTGATACTCCTATTAGTTCATGACAGAAGTAAAAAACCACTAAACATGTTGAAAGTGAAACACCGAGCTACCGTTTCCCTCTTGAATACTTCACCTGCCTGGTGACACCAACACTTACCTATCCTGAATCATTCTCTTAACACTTAAAGCAAGAAGCATTTTTTTCTGAACACATTCTTCTACGAACTTTAAACACCCGCTGATGTTATCCCTGATCATGTTTTCTGAGTCACACCATACATTAAACACATATTTTAGGTTGTTAATGATGATGTCTCTTGTTAAGTGAGATGAAGGGGCTTCTCACACACCGTTCTCACCATCATTAGCCCATCTGGAGCGCTTTGCCATTATCAGAGACTCACTAAACAAGAGAGTACAACAGCCATCTGAAACCATCCAAGTTGACAGCTTCAGACACACACACACACACACACACACACACACACACACACACACACACACACACACACACACACACACACACACACACACACACACACACACAAACTCTCTGATGAAGATGGCTCGTGTTCCCCATGAGGACGAATCGTATGTTCTCCTTTGTTTCAGGGAGCTAATCCATTACTATTCACACCCTCCTCCACCAGACGCACAGCTTTCAATTTACACTGTTGTTCTCGCAGTCTGCTCCAATCTGCTGTTGTTTTAATTGCCTCACCCTGGCAGAGCCAACTGCCACTGCTGCCAGAAAAATGCAATGAGTCTCTTAATGAAGAAAACAGACAAGAAGCAACTGGCTGAGTGAGACGGGGATGCCGGGCGAGAGGATAAAAAGGCATGGAGGCAACGGGAGTGTGTGCAAAACAGCAACAGCTAGCCAGACAGAGAGGAAAAGGAATGACACAATTTACCACATCTCGGATGACCAAAACCAGTTTTGTGGATCATGTTGATATGATCATGCTGTCTAGAATCCCATTGCCTTGAGTCAGCATTTGCATGTTTTTTTCTGTTATTCATGACCTTTTTAGACCATTTTATTAATAAAACAATAAGGAGTGGTTGTGATAAACTGACATTAGCTCAAAACACACACTGATTGTGCTTTGATGTGATTAGATGCTGCTGCTGCTGTAGCCCTCTAACCAAACAGAGCTGTCTTAACTGCCACTTTGGTGCACTCTTATAAGCCACAATGAGCAGGATGACAGCAGCGTTGTTAGTCACAACAATGTAGCCTCCTACTTCAAACTCACACACTGGTTTGGCTCAACCGGTTCTAAGCGTTAATCAACTTGGACCATTCCTCTGACCTCTTTGATGAAAGAAAGTGCAAATAAGTGCAACAAAGCTACCAACATGCACAGGGAGAGGCTAGAAAAGAGACGATGAGCATTATTACTGGAATCCAGACTTGATTAGGTTAGAGTGATGGTTGGAGTGGGAATCCAAACCTTCCTCTAAACATCGCTTTGCCAGTATTGGAAACTATTTAGATTTTCTGCCATGTTCCAACTCTTTAAAAAAGCCTAGAGTCTTACTAGGGCTCAGACTTTCTGAGACACTTAAATACACCACCACATATCAGAAAACCTGAAAATCCTTTTAAAGACCTCCACGCTAATGTACAATGAGCTATTAGCGGCATGCAGGTGAAACACAAATCATAAATCAGCATATGCAAATGTTTCAAGTCTGCAAGTAAATAAAACCTTAATGGCTGAGTAGTTGTTTTGTACCTGACAGAAAAATGAACTGTGCACACTCAAATATAGTTTACTTTCTTTTGTAATTCTATTGAAGCTTGGCGAGCTACAGCATCCTTCTTTGATTCATTATTTTACTAGAGAGACTGTACGATTTTGGTAGCCTATAATAATGTCTGGTTAGTGATAACAGCTCTGATATAGTTTACTACCCTAACAGCATTTTTTATTTTCGTTTTAAGATCAGGTTGCTGAGTAGAATGCTACCTATAAGACCAACAGATTCAGTGGAATAAAATATTAAACTAAAATAATAATTAATTCCATCAGAGCAACAAAGTTCTCACTAATATGCAAAAGTTCATAAAATTAGTCATCCTGAGTCCAAATAGTAGTGATAAGCACTTGTTCCATCACTTCACTACATTCTCATGAAGAAGACAGAACAAAAAACCTCAAACAGTTTCATTTATACAAAAATATGTTTTCTCTTACCTGAAGATCTTGGGTAAGTATAAGCTGCAAAAAATAAAAATAAATACCACAATTACAATGATTTCTTTACAATAAGAATCATATTGATATAAAGATCCAAAGACTTCAGCGCCTCACGTTCTGAGTACTGGATGATTCGGCTCACATAGTCACCAGCAGTGAAGGTGGTGATGGGGGCCAGTCGGACCTCGTAAGTCAGCGGGATTTTCAGGTCTGATATTGTGTTGGACAGTAGAACACCCTTCTCTGGCTCTATTCCCCTCAGGTCAATTTGCTTGGACTGTAAAATCTTGCCGTTCTACATTGACAGGCATACACAGAAATATTCACACATCAGCAGATAAAATACATCCACCAGACACATGGATTATTAGGGATGTATCGGCTTAAAAATAAATAATAATTATATATATATATATATATATATATATATATATATATATATATATATACAGTATATATATAACATATCAGTGTACCAAATATATTCTAACTGATTTCTGATGCTGAAATAAACCGATACAGAGATGTGTAAGGTTCCCCCTGCCATGAAAAAGGAAAAGTAATTCATTTTAGATGAATGACATCACATACTTCCTGTCATGCATACTTTAACATTATCTTCAAACACTATCTGTGCTAGCAGTAGCTCAGGTGGTAGAGCGGGTTGCCTCATGATTGGAGGGTCATGGTTTCGATTCCAGCTCCCGCCAGGGGTATCCTGCTGTTGTGTCCCTGGGCAAGACACTTCACCCAACTTGCCTGTGTTAGTGGTGGTCAGAGGGGCCGACGGCGCCAAATGGCAGCCTTGCCTCTGTCAGACCTCCCCAGGGCGGCTGTGGCTACAAGTAGCTTACCATCACCAGCAGTGTGTGAATGTGAGAGTGTGTGAAAGTGTCTTTGGGGGTCTTGAAAAGTGCTATATAAGTTCAATGCATTATTATTATTATTATTATTATTATTATTATTATTATTATTATTATTATTATTATTATTATTTGTGCGAAATGAAAACCATCTGGCAAGTTGTCCAAAACAAACAAAAATATCTCAGTAACTGTATCTCATATCTGTCATATTTTCACCTTTTGAGTGAGAGGAGACTTAGCTGAAGAGTTTGATGTATAATGTGTGCATGGTATGTAATAGTTGGTGTTAGGGTTATACTCTCATTAAAGAGTAAAAACCAATAAGATCATTTCTGTTTTTACATTTTAAGACTAATATCAGACGATAATTATAGTTAAAGACAATTAAATATCAAACATCTGTATTTATTATTTTTCTTGACACCATCTCAGGTTTCCACTTTCTGTCAGTTAACACATCTGAGCAGATATGTTGTTATTTCTCTGTCACTACTCAACATTTCCTCAATAATCAAGTTTTCAGTCAAATTTTTTTCAATAAGTAAATCAGTCCTCCCATGCTCGTTTAAAGGTGTACTAGAATGTTGCTTATTAACAATTGGAAACTGTGCTTTGAGCCTCAATAAAACATATGGAGCTTTCTTGGGGCTCACAACTGTCCCAGTAACCCTGATAAGTGGCCAAACTCAACACCAACATTAGCCCTGTGAAAAGACCTGGATGTGGAAGGAGTTAAGTTAGCATCTCCCGGTTGTGCAGGGATTTGCTGCAGAACAAGGGATTTTCTGGCAGCAAACTTAGCGTCTCACCAACTAAGAAGCTGGGAAATGAACAAGAAAGTAAGTGTTTTTGTTTTCCTTGCATCCACAAGAATGTTAGATGCAGCTCAGCCCAATGTTTAGTCTGGCGTAGCATTAACAGTAGCTCAGTGTTAACTCATTCATTGCCATTGATGACTAAAGTTGTCATTTTAAATACAACAATTCACTGAAGTCGTCATTTGCATCTTTTTACTGTGTGGGCATCAGAACAAGCCCCGTGCCATGTGAACAAACATCCCAGCTCTAAAGCCGATCTTCATCGGCATACGTCATACGTCACATGTCACGTGATCAGGAAGCAGAAAATCCATGTGTTAGGAGATCGTTTTGGGTCGCTGCTGTAAAAAAAGTGAGGCGCAAACTGGAAAAGCTTCTGCCGATCACAATTCGACAACGGATTATGAAAGAACGGATAACGCTCGAAACACGCAGATTCTTCCTGATGTAAGAGGTGAGTCTCCTCTTTGTTTTGGTTGTTTTGGCGTCTACATTATCCTAGCATGCAACGTTCTGTGACTCTTAAAAAAACAGTAAAAACAGTGAGAAACGCTGGCAGCGAACAGCTTTACCGATCAGGAAACGGCTGGAGGCGAATGAGTAAACAACAGCTCAGCCTAGCGTTGTTCTGCAGTTAAATGGTAAGTTGTAAAGTTGTTTATATAGTTTAGAGTCATAGAACCCCCAAGGTGCTTTACAACACAATTAGTAATTCACCAATGCAAACACACATTCACACAGTGATGACTGTGGCCACAGCTCCCCTGGGGTGCACTGAGAGAGGCAAGGCCTGCCAAGTACTGGTGCCACCGGTGCCACCGGTGCCTCCGACCACCACCAGCAGGCAAGGTGGGTTAAGTGTCTTGCCCAAGGAAACAACAGCAGCAATCTCTGCTAGGAGCCCGGATCGGTCCTACAGCCCTCTGATTACTGGACAACCCGCTCTACCTTCTGTGCAACTGCTGCCCCAGTTAGCCTCAGTTAGCGTTCCTGCAAACCAAGGTTTATATGTTCCAGACACTGAATTGGGTTGGAACATACAGATGTAAACAGGAGTGACTTAAATGTATGTATACTATATCTGAGCACCGAAGCTGCCTTGATTTAACAATAAGATCATGTGGTTTTACATTCTGCCCCTTTATAGCTTTAGAGACCAAATAGTTCCTGAGCGCAGCCACCGCTGCAGCTCCCCACGGGGATGGGTCAAATGCGGAGATGTGATTTCACCGGTGTGTGATGATGACTAATGGGGCCTTAACAATTTGTGCTTTGAAAAAAAAATAAAAATACATTTTGATCCTGTTCCAGAGTACTCAGTGAGAAAAGTGATGTATCTGACATGAAAAGGTACTAGCAGGAATGAAGTTCATATTGCTTTAACTGTAGCTATTCACTCGCTGCTTTTGAGCGATCATTGTAATGTGTACCTTAATCATGTAAACCCACAAAAATGAGTGTAAATCAATTAAACTGGCTGTGCATTGTGGGGATGAAAATGTAAAATGATTATGGTGTTAGGGAAGTCATTGTTGTCTCATTTTTTTATGTTAAGTTGGGGCTTTTTTCTGTCGGCACCACATTTGATAAAGAGCTATTGCTGTGTTATTCCACCCACGGAGAGAAGGATCCATTAGCTGTGTATCTGCCTCTGATCCCAGCTACTTAAAGACCTGACAGTGAACTCAATCTAATGCATTAGGTCAGCCACTTCACCTTAACAGCTTGGTACACCCACAGCACGTCATTATCAGGTAACACATAAAGTAGAGCTGTGTGTGTGCCTGTGGTTATGTCTGTTAGACATGTCGACTGTACTGCTCCCCTACTAGCCTTGCTCAAATAAGCTCAGAGCTCACATATTCTGTAAAACACCAGGATTTTTGTTTTATAGTCTGAATATGATTCTTAACAAGTGAACAGGGCTACAGTTCACTAAAAATATAAGTAGGTGAAATATGTAAAAAAAAATTAAATTCCATGATTTATTCAGCTAGCAATGACAGTTTCTGGAATATCTGGTTGAGCTTTAGCATTAGATTTCCTTTTCCATCTAGGAAGTAAAAAAGGTTCCTTGATTATGTCTTTTTTCTCATTAAAGGAGCTTTTTTAAATTTAAAAAGAAATATGCCAAGTAACAAGCTTTTCAACTAGTTTATATATCACTTCACTGATCCCCCATCTGACGGTGTCTTTGTTTTGCTGGTCTGCGTACATTCCTGAAGGTAAGCATTGCTGTCTGCAGTTTAGATTCAAGGCTGCATGGAAAGTTTGGGAGTTTAAAGACAAATAACACTAATTTTAAAAACACATTTGCAGTGTTCTCTAGTGTAAATGAATGCTTTGTGAGTCCATCTCTATGGGGGAAAAGAAGCTCTTGCCCTCCTGTGTGAAGAAGTAGAATTTAGTTAGGAGGCAGAAAATGGCAGAATCTGGAGTGTTACTCATAATTATTTCCTGATATTCGGACATCTTGCCTCTGATTGGCTAACAGTGTTGTGCTTCTATACACCGACTGGTCATTGATGTTTATCTCCACCAATTACACAAGCCTGAAGGAGATCTGCCATGTTTTGCAATTGCAAATGCTAACGGTTAGCTTCTACTGGCCGAGGCATGCTCTGATTTCTCCTGGATGCCAAATCAACAACAGCCTTCCCCATTGAGAGCCAAGATGGGAGTCTATTAATGCAATTTTTCAATGTGGCGTAGATCTGTGTTGCTTCATACTCGATCGTTTCCCCTTTTGTTTTTAATCCGGGGCTAATGCGGGAAATGGGGTAGAAGCGTCTTTTCGTGTTCAGCTCACATGTGAAACTCAGAGTGACTGGTCGTATTTCAAAAATAACTAGTAAAATTTTTGTTTTTTTTTTGTGAACTTGCTCTTCAAGTCTCAGATATCCTCTTTTTAATGTTGTTTTTTCTGCTTTTCTCCCCTGTTCAAACCACTTCTCATCATTGTTCCGTTTTACACGTAGACCACAACAGCAAAAACTCTAACGACCCTGTGGGGGAAGTTCATTGGTTTTAATTTTAAACTTGCTCCCAATACAGCTAAAGCTCACTGAATAAAAAGTGAAACATTTTCAAGAAAGCAAAGAGGTCCAATAGACTCGGATTAGGATTACCATGGCCTGGGTGATGAAGAACCTTCACCATCTTATTGGTTGTAGTGAAAGCTGGTTTTCCAAGGGTACTACTCAGCCTAAAACAGCTCTGTACAGTGTGGGTTAAATCAGCTCATCTGATTGTGGTTGTGTTTCCCTGCCAGCTCCATGACAAAAGGTGACTGCGCCTCATAGTTGTAGGGGAAGGAAGGGGGGGACTTGCAGCACTTGTGAAAGGGGGCACAAGGTCTTTACTTGTCACAAAAATAACACGAGTTGATCAGTAAACACTGTGAGGTGATCTGTATGTTGCACAGAAACATGACTCAGCACAAAGATGGTGGTGATGATGGACATTCTGCTCAGTTTTATGACTTTTTGTCAGACACTGAACCAGGTAATGGCTGCAGATAGTGAAACAGCAGGCAGAAAACTCCAGAAGAACCAGTGACTCCACCCCCTAACCAATCAGCGGCCAGGGTCTTGATGCTGGCCCGACTCAGC